GACCATAGACCATAGCCAAAGAAAGTACTCGTAGAGATGGAGAGGAAGACTTAGATGTAGAGCCTTAGGGTTACTAGATGGAAGATGAGAGTCAGAGTATCGAAGTGTTTGGCAAGAAAGAAATACCGGGTGTCCTATAGTCAATGCGGTTCAGATGATGATGAATTGTGTTTCACGGCTTTATGGCGCACACGTAGATTGTGTGAATTCAAAGTATTGGTAGCTGTAATCATTAGGAAGCACAACCCCAACCTTTCCATCCAGAAAGAAATTGTCACTTGACTTAAACTATTCACGTAGCTTTCAGACAGACACACACACACACATGCATGCACCCACCCACGTACGCACACGCACGCACACACAGGCACGCGTACACACACATAACTACATTACATGCATACACACGGCACATATGCACACACGCACACACACACACACCTTCCTTCCTTCCTCCTTCCTTCTTCCACTGCCATGACTGGCTACGTGGCCCCATAAGGGGCAGACCAGGAGACGTGTTGTACACAGGGCGGAGAACGCCAGACTCAGCGCGCGCGGGCTGCGCGAACAGCGTTACATTTGTGCCTCGCAATATCCTGTGGCTGACGAAAACTGCGCGCACAAGTGCCACAGATGAGGGGCTTCGCCACAGGCTCCATGCGGGACTGGACAATAGCGTCACGGCAAGTGGCCCGCTATCCATGTCGATCTTGGACGATGTCACCAAGCTGCTCCAGAGGAACGCCAACAGCCATCAAGTCGCACTTTGCGGAGTCCTTCTTGCGCTTATGGGGTCCATGCGGTGGACGTTTGGACGGTAACGAGCCGTCCAGCAGCTGACGAGGGATTCGATCCTGCATGCGGGACACTTGGATAAGCCATCGAATTTGGCAGACTTTGACTTTATCCGCGATCTCCTTCATATCGTCCCACATCTTGCACACCTGGAGAGAGGAGATGTGCTCCTCTATCTGCCAGCCACGATTGACCTTCAGGATGGAACGCACGCACTGCAGACGAAAGGATTCCAGGCGACGGACATCACGCTGCCTAACGGTCCAACTCTCAGAGTCAGAAAGAAGGACGGCCAGGACAGTCACTCCATAGACAACGCCCTTAATGGGCATGTTAATAAAGCACACACACACACGCACACACACACATGTACCCGTACACACACATACATACATACATACAAACATGAACACATGCATACACCATGAACCTTGAACATTAAATGCCCATTGCCGTAGCAATGATAGCGATGGCTTCCTCACACTGAGGTTCTAGACCCGAAATCTGCAGTATGGCGCATGCCGCTTGAAGTCACCAGGACGGCGGAACACTCTGTCACAGCGGTAGTTGGGGCACGGGATGTCTGGGGCTTCCATCTCGACCCTCTGTCGACAATACTGAAACCAGACGGATCTCTCTGCGCTGTGTCATACCAGTCCGCTTCAGACAAACCGATGACAGAAAAGTCCGAGGGCACAACATCCCGCCAGCGCATCTTGGGACCTTGTTGCGGGCGTTTGCAGGGCAGTTCGCCAACCAGCATCTACTTGGGCAGCCGGGTCTCCTTCATCCGTGCAACGTGACCAAGCCACCGCAAGCGGTGCTTCCTGATCACATCAACCATGTCGACGTCCACCCCTGTCAGCTCGCTCAGCGATGCCGAGGACAATCTCTCCTCCCATTGCTCACGACGAGAGATACCGAGAATTGTGCGAATACACTGATGGTGAAAGGTGTTGAGTCGGCGAATATGACCCGCTTTGATGGGCCATGTATCCGCACCGTAGAGAAGAGCAGGAAGGACAATAGCACGATACACCAGCCGCTTGGTGTGGACCGAGAGATGTACGCACTGAAATATCGGAGACCTGAGCACCCCGAACAGCTGGGACGCCTGCGCCAAACGAGCAGCGAAGTCCGCATCCACCGTTCTCTCAGCAGAGAGCACGCTACCAAGGTACCGGAACCCGTCCACCATGTCAATCCTGCTGTCACCACCGAGTTGAACGGGATCAACTGATGTTGGTTGACCCACATCCATGCCCCTCGTCTTTCTAATGCTGACGGTCAGTCCCATACGCACACACATAAATACACAGCCCTCCCCTCCCCCCCCCCCCCACACACCACACGTGCGCGCGCACACACACACACACACACACACACAAACACACACCTTTGACCTTTGACCTTTGACGCCCATCGCCGGAGGCGATGATAGCAATGCTACGGCAGAAGCCATAGCAACTTGTGCTGGGATTACACCATTCAACAGCTTGCAAGGCTGAAGAATTGACCGTCACTATTCAGCCTGGTCTACACCATACAGCTATTTGGAGTGACATTTTCTGGCCAGTGAATCCCTTTTTTGGTCTTTTTCATTTTTCTTTTTTTTTTCCCGCACACACATCACACCACATACTCCGGCATGCACTGGCTGTTGGTAACCACCCAGGAGAATGAAAGAAAAGTCAGGAAGAGTCTGAGAAAGAGAAGAAAGACGTGTGTGACCATAATCGTCGGGAATCAACACACACACAAACACACACACACACACACACACAAACACACACACACACACACACACACACACACACACACACACACACACATGCACACACTCAGACTCAGACTCAGCCATGCCCGTCGCGGTAGCGATGATAGCGAACAGCTATGTTAGACATAGCAACTTGTGCTGGGATTGCACCATTCAAAAGCTCGCAAGGCTGATGAATACACACACGCACGCACGCACGCACGCACACACACGCACACATATACGCGACGTACAACCTACACTCTACACTCTCTTGCACTGTTATTTACCTCAAGCGTAGTGATTATTTACCCTAGCTCTTATTTTGGTTTTTCACTCCACCTACGCGTGTCATTAGTTCACACTAACTTGACATCTTTGCACTTTCCCCTGTTCCTTGACACATTTATATAATTATTAGTTGTATTCATGGCTAGTTATCATTGTTGAGACGTATTTCCCTGATGAAGGCCTCATGAAAACTGGTTAAGAAAATCTAGAACTCCAAAACGAGAGAGCTTAGAAGCTCAGGGCCCTACGCTATGCTTTTTTGCCTAGCTCATCATGCATGTTATTAGAACTGATTGAATTGTTTTTTTCCATTGATTGGCTACATCAAACTTTCTCTTTGCACTCGAGGGTAATACGACACCGTCTACCACCTTGATTTACCTAGACAAAAAAGCATAGGGAAGTTATAAATTTTTCATTTCTCCTATTTTTTTAAGACATAACCTGGTATTCGAACCCACACTATCGCCCTGCATGCATTCCCCCGATACACTTCGCTTACATACTCATTCTTCCAAGCTGCTTCATGTTATGATCTTGCATTTTAACGCCCTATTTGAATATTGTGGCCAGCTGTCTTTGATGGTCCGGTACGGGACAGTTACGGGATAGCGCCAGGCATCTTTTAAGTTTGCCGTTCTTCAGCCACAGCTCTTGCCTTCATCTCTGGTGCGGGTGTTATCTACTGACTTTGTACATGCGTTAAAATAGACCAATCCCTTTGTCTGGGTTCGTGAAAAGGGCCACGCGTGCAAGTCAGCTCGTGTGAAGTGCATGGTTTTGTATTTAGTTGGTATGTGGCAGCTTATGGGACAAAGAGATTTTTGCTCCCCGAGCTTGTGTATGTAAATAATGTTTTACGTCCAGTATGACAGCTACAATGCCCAACAATACCACAACGAACTGATCGGCTACATCATTGCATTGCAAAAATCTGTCTGTTCGAATTACATGCATGATGAGTTAGCCAAAAAAAGCATAGCATAGGGCCCTGCGCGAAAGAAATAGCCTTTCTCTTTGCATTCGAGAGTAATACGACACCATCTACCACCTTGATGACCTAGGCAAAACATGGATAGGGATGTTATAAATAATTTATTGTTCATTTCTCCATTTTTTTCCAAGACATTACCTAGGATTAGAACCCGCACTATCGCCCTCCATGCATTCCCCGATACACTTCACATACATACTCATTCTTCCAAGTTGCTGCACGTTCTGATCTTGCATTTGAAAGCCCTATTTGAATATTGTGGCCGGCTGTCTTTCGTGGTACGGTACGTGCGGGACAGGTACGGGATAGCGCCAGGCATGCCGATGGCACAAACAAACAAACACAGAATTAAAGCTGTGTGGACCTTGCATAGCTACGGGAATTAATGTTCTATTTCGTTTTTGATAAGTGCAATGTCCGCCTCGCTAATTCTGCTTATGACCACATAAATGTCTCATTCAGAGGCATGCATAATACACTATCATTAGAAACCCGCGTGGACCCAGTTACAAGCTCACTCAGCACCAAAACTGCACACTGGTCTGAAAAATAATAAATACCTTCTGGCTAACAAAGCAATATCAAGCAACTGTGGCTGCCTTATAAAAAAACAATTCTAAATACTGGCCTCCAAGCTCTTACGGCCTGAATTTCTCCATATTCTGGACCTCTTCATACACTGGCATACAAAGTTAGTAACTTTGTCAGTAACTGCTACTGCCTCTAACTGTTAACTGTAAGGTCAGTAACTGTTACTGACTAGGCTCCCCCCCCATGCATATACTCACTAGCAAACATCTCTATAATCACAACTGTGGTAAAAGCAGAGGCATGTACAAATGCTACCAAGAGATGCAGGCTTGTAACCTTTTACCAACTGACTTAGGATCAACCCTGCATCCAGGGAAAACTTGGGGACAAAGCATAGGCCATTAGCTCCAGGGAAACGTCTTTTCTTTTGGCCAGTCCCCTGCCCGGTGTTGAGACATGCATTGGGGTTCTCCAGTACTTGCTGGCAACCAACTTGTCAACTGGCTTAATATTCAGAGTAGTCTATATCCGGCTGCCTTACTTGGCAGTAAGTTGTACATCATATTGAAATTTAGTACATTACTGATTAATAAAGCATAGGATTATCTGCTCATGTGTGTTACCTGTACACAGAACGGTGACCTTCCTGTTCATCGTGCTGCATGGAATGGACGTCTGGAAGTCATCAAGTACCTACTAGATCTCCAATCAGACACGATCTCTGTAAAGAACAATGTAAGTTGAGCAATCTCTACCATTGACTCTCCTTACTGTAGTCAGTTACTCTTACAGCACTCTTGAGGATCACTGTGCTAGCTGTATGTCTATTGGTGGGGGAATATCAGGCTGAAACAACAGCAACCCCACCGATCATTTGCTGCAAAAGTACCTGTGACTATTGGTGACTCTCCTACCCGGCACTGATACCTGCATAAAGCACCTCCCATATCCCGACATCGTATTAATTCCGCGACTTCTAGCGCTTCTGACACCATGTAGTATTCAGGTTCTTGAGGAATTAGGATACTATTGACTGTACGGGACAGGTACGGGATATTGCCAGGCATATGCCGATGGCACAACCCCCCCCCCCCAAAAAACACGGAATTAAAGCGGTGTGGACCCTGGCTAGCGCCCCCCCCCCCTGCATATACTCACTAGCAAACATCTCGATAATCACAAATGTGCTAAAAGCAGAGGCATGTACAAATGCTATCAAGAGATGCAGGCTTGTAACCTTTTACCAACTGACTTAGGATCAACCCTGCATCCTGGGAAAACTTGGGGACAAAGCATAGGCCATTAGCTCCAGGGAAACGTCTTTTCTTTTGGCCAGTCCCCTGCCTGGTGTTGAGACATGCATTTGGGTTCTCCAGTACTTGCTGGCATCCAACTTGTCCACTGACTTAACTTAATATTCAGAGTAGTCTATATCCGGCTGCCTTACTTGGCAGTGATTTGTACATAATATTGAAGGTTAGTACATTACTGATGGATAAAGCATAGGATTATCTGCTCATGTGTGTTACCTTTATACAGGACGGAAACCTTCCTGTTCATTATGCTGCCTTCAATGGACGTCTGGAAGTCATCAAGTACCTACTAGATCTCCAACCAGACACGATCTCTGTAAAGAACAACGTAAGTTGAGCAATCTCTATCATTGACTCTCCTTACTGTAGTCAGTTACTCTTACAGCACTCTTGAGGATCACTGTGCTAGCTGTATGTCTATTGGTGGGGGAATATCAGGCTGAAACAACAGCAACCTCTCCAATCATTTGCTCCAAAAGTACCTGTGACTATTGGTGACTCTCCTACCCGGCACTGATACCTGCATAAAGCACCTCCCATATACCGACATCGTAGTAATTCTGCAACTTCTAGCACTTCTGACACCATGTAGTATTCTGGTTCTTTAGGAATTAGGATACTATTGTATTATTGATTCACAGGCTATATGAAAGAGAAACCCTTTTTTAAATGTGGTATCAGCAGACCCCAGCTGTAAGAGGTACTGCACGGGCGTGTACATGTTGCGGTACACGTAACTTGTGTACAGGTTATGTAAGGGTTACACGTGCTCAAGAGAAACGCATAATACATAGCATGACACGACAAGTACCACAGCTGTCACTATTGTGCTAACTTTTACACGTTATGACTAATCAGAATCATGCTTATAATTCTTAGAGCTGGGTAACTACAGATAACATGTAAAACTTTAGTCACAGTAGGTTATACATCATAATAGATGACTTGCACAAAGATCCGAGCCGCCAGTGAGACGGGGCAAGTGCACCCTGTGCACCCAGGCTACACTGCGGGCACCCTACACCGTCTGTAGACTAGTGTAGTGTACTTTTTTTGTCAGCATGAATGAACGGTGCACGGCATGTGCATGTACATGATCATACAGTACCGTCACTGTCTTCAGCAGCTCATGAGTCATGCATGTGCACTTGTAGGGTTAGTGGAAGCAGGTATTGTACTACTCCCTGAGTGGAAGTACATGACTGTATTATTATGTGAAGAGAAGCCAGGCGTCCAAATCAACCCAAAATACTCTTGCCTTATTCTTCGGTGAAATAGATAAAAAAATTGTCTTACTAAACAACAGTGAGCACAGAAGCAACCTCGATGCACCCAATAATATGGCATCCGGGAACAGCAAGTGTTGCACGAGGATCCCAAGAACACGTCAAGTTCCATGCTACCCGCCGCCATCAAAAGAACGAAGGATAACTGTGCTAGCCTAGTTCATATTCAATGTAACGCTAACGGTACGGGATATAGGAGCCTGTTGGGAAGGCGTGGGTGAGCTGTAAAATCTTGTACGGTTCGCACAGCACAACATACATGCAGCAGTTATTGCGACGATTAACGTCGATGGACGAGAGTCATAAAGCACAGTCCATGGGGGTTGACGTTTCTGGGCTTCCTTTCCGAAAGGAAAGTTTTATTTCTTCTAAAAAAAAAAGCAGAATCATGCTGATTATACCAGTCTGTTATGAAGACAAGGAAGCAGCCAAGGACATTGTGCCATACTAAAGGAACGACAGGTAAAAGATAAAGCACTTCATCTGAAAACTCAAGGACTATCCATAAATACAGCAAATGATAATCCTAGCCTAGTAATGTCCAACTCCGTCATGTGAGCCATTCGGTGAGTTATTATGAGAAGCATAATGTTCGGAATGCTGAAATTTGAACAGTTGCAGTTGTGTTCGTCGCCACACAATGCCATCGCCAGTTCACATTCGAAATGTAGCCATTTTTACGCTTGTGTCCCTGTACACGGCATGGAAGGCTGAACAGATTCAACTCTTCCATCACTTCCTGATCTGAACAGTAGTGCGGTTGCGTTCCCGTTCCTGACACTCACATCCGTCTCCGCTAACCAGCATCATGAGCACTCCAATGGTTCCCGCCGCTCCTTCCGTATCGTCCCAGCGCGCCCCGTTAAAATGTGAATTACTGTAGGCAACGGAGCCAGTGTATGATGAAGGCGAATGCACTGTTTGATGATGCTCCAACAAATCCTTTCTGAGACTGAGACCCAGCCGGAGCCGCATCGTTCTCATTACCAGCTAATCATGGGGAGGTATAATGTGACTTTCCACCACTCCCTGATTCAATCATAGTTTGCGAGCCTGCGCCAAACTGCTTTCTCACTAGAGCCAGGCATTGGATACATATGGCTTCAGTAAGGTTTACAATGCTATGTCTCTGGCCTAAGTCCAAGTCTAGATACAGCTGCTCAGAGTCAGGGCTGATGAAGTGTTCATATCGGAACAAGTGAGACTTCAACAGTAGCTAGTACACATTAGGCCTTAGGACTTCGCAGCGTTTCTCCAGCACACTTGTTCTCTCCTTCAACTCAGATACTACTTGAAGTACTACTAAAGGCCATCTGGCTCTCACACTCAGTCCTTATACCCCTCATTTTCGTGGTTTGGGCTTCCACTCGTGACTCGGCAGGTTCCTGGCCTCTCCGCAGTCTGTCCTCAGGAGAGGGTCGCTCTGGAGCTAGTGCAGCCGAATCGAAGGGAATCGAGTTCTTTCTCAGACGGCCACAAACTTTCGTTGTGCTTGACCTCGCTTCCACTGCGGGAAAGTAGTCACACTTCAGGACCGCGACGTGCTTGTTGCAGCCTACACCAATGATACTAAAATAACATTCCCTCATTTTTTCTGCCTCCCGGCCGGCCGGCTCGGAAAGGAACGTATGGAATGGGAGCCTCAGTTCCATCTCTCGTCTGCTAGTGCATTCAGGAGCGTAGCAGCGCTTCGGCATGACGATAGAAGCCGAATCAACACAACTCTACTCTCTAGCCAAAAAAACTAGCTCAGTGTTCGTCAGGCAAAAAGCGAAACTTCGAAAGTCACGAACTCAAAAGGTGGGGAAGTCAGAGTCAGAAGGTCTACTTGCCCCGTCTCGAACCCAGACAATCTTTGTGCAAGTCATCTATTGTGTAAGATACAGACTGTAGATAGATAACACATGCGAATGTCTTGTTTTGTCTTTACCTGCACACAGAACGGTTTCCTTCCTGTTCATCGCGCTGCTTACAACGGACATCTGGACGTGGTCAAGTATCTAGTAGATCTCCAACCCGACACGGTCTCCATAAAGAACAAAGTGAGTCGAGCAGTCTCTGTCACTGTATTGGTCCTGATTACACACTCCAAGAGTGTGCACATTTGGCAAATGACTGACTACATGGTACATTCCCTATATCATGCAGGTCACTTCTCCATTGCATAATTATTATGTAAGTGTTTGTGTTTGTGTTTGAAGGCACTGTCATACATAACGAGGCGCTACTGTGTTGCATTAGAACTTTTCCAGCTAATCAATCAGAGTAGTCTATATTAGGATTCCTTGACTGACAGTAGATTGTACATCATACTCGTATGTAAGATACAGACTGCAGATAGCTAACAAATTAAAGAGGAAGTTAAGGCTAAAATCAAAATTTCACCAGTTGTAGTCTTCCGGGTGCTGAGTCGAATGATCTTGGTCTGAGGAAGCTGAGACGCTCCCTTCCTACTTTAATCCCAATCGGACTCGCGCATTTCCACCTAAACTGGGTGACCTCGCCCTACTAGATGGGGATTTGTATGCAAAATTTCACTAAAATCGCCATTTCGCTCTTATAAAAGCATCGATGACCGCAGTTGGCCCATACATTGTAGTCTTTTGGACGCTGAGTCGACTGGTTTTGGTCCAAGCTGCGATTCAGCGTTCGTCCTTTATTCCCAATCGAACATGGTTGAACAAGCGGTCATGTGCTCCTGCGTGCCCAAGTCACCTGGTCACCGCGCCAGCAAGCGACAACGAATTTACTTTCACACCAAGGTTCAACTCGAGTGAGAGGAGTGCACCCAAAAAAGGTCAAAACAGGCTAGTAAGTTGTAACCTGCAGGCACGGTGACCAGGTGACTGGTGTACGCAGGAGCACGTGACCGCTTGTTCAACCATGTTCGATTGGGAATAAAGGAGGAACGTTGTATCGCAGAATTCTCGGACCAAAACCAGTCGACTCGGCGTCCAAAAGACTACAACATATGGGCCAATCGCGGTCATCCGTGCTTATATAAGAGCGAAATGGCGCTTTTAGTGACATTTTGCATACAAATCCCCATCTAGTTGGGCGCAGTCACCCAGTTTCGTTGGAAGTGCGCGAGTTCGATTGGGATTAAAGTAGGAAGGGAGCGTTTCAGCTTCCTCGGACCAAGACCATTCGACTCAGCACCCCGAAGACTACAACTGGTGAAATTTTGATTTTAGCCTGAACTTAAAAAAAGGTATAAATCTTGTCTTTACCTGCACACAGAACGATGACCTTCCTGTTCATTACGCTGCTAATGATGGACGTTTGGAAGTCGTCATGTACTGTAAAACGAGTAACTATTGCGACGTAACAATGTTTGCTAATTTTGCGAG